TCTCTCATCATGGATGTTTCCATCTCTCTCTCTCCCTTCCTCTCTGAAGTCAATAAAGAAGCAAAATTTTTAAAATACAAGCATTTATTATCTCAGTTTCTGAGTCAGAACTTTGGGAGGGGTTTGGTGGGGGGTTGCTCAGGGTTTCTGTTTTATTAACAGTAGGTGTGGCAAGGCCAACAGGTCAGGGCGGGGCGGTCCCTCCAGGGTCAGCAAAGCCCCAGATGTTAAAGCAGACTCTTGAACAGAAAAGAAAGCCGCATCGCAGTGCCGCTCCTGGCGTCTGGCCAGATGTTGCTGTCTGTCGGGGACAAGTCGGGCAGGACTCTGATGACCCAGCTGTGCTCACGGGCTCGCCCCTGGGACCAGGCGCTGGGTCTGGGGCCGGCGCTCGGTGAGTGGCCCGGCTTGGGCCGGGCCTTCCCAGCAGGAGACGACGGGGTCTGTGGGGTCTGGAGCTGAGTGGCCATCCCGGATCGCAGCCCTGCCTTGGCTGGTTTATGAGCCAAAGTCGCAGTGGTCCTATTTTTGGAACAACAGGAAAAAAACAACTGCTTCAGACTCACAATGGTAACTTTCCACAGGTGTGGCCTAATCAGTGGGTCTAATGGAAGACTTAAGTGTACTGAGCCTGGGTGCCACTCAAGAACAAGGCTCAGGAAAGTAAGTTGAGGGGCTGCCAACAAAACTCGCGCCTGCAGGACGCCCGCTGCACGCTGTCCTCCGGAGCCGGCCCAGCTGCAGGCGCACCAGCTGCCCCTCGCCCCGGCCAGAGTCTTCCGGCGGCGAGGTTTGGAGCTCAAGTTTCCTTGTCAGAAACACCTCCCAGACAAGCACTCGGCAGTTCCTGGGGGTCGCTGTCCCCCAGGTTCGGTGAGAGGAGCCTCAACGGTGCATGCTCACCCCAACCTCGTCCCCCGCGTCTGCAGAGCTGGTGGAAGCAGGCCAGGGGTTGGACGTGACCTCTGTTCTCCTTCGAGTTGATTACCATCAGGATATTTAACATTTAACTAACATTCGCGTGTTAAATGAGCACTTCCTTTGTCCAGAGCACAGTTGAGAGCATTTTCTGGGGCTGTTTGGGAAAGAAACGAGGCTTGGCAGTCAGGCTGGGTACAAATTCCAGCAAGAAAAAAGTTTTTTGTTTTTTTTTTTTTAGGATGTTTTTATTGATTTCAGAGAGAGGAAGGGAAAGGGAGAGGGAGATAGAAACATCAATAATGAGAGAGACTCACTGATCGACTGCCTCCTACACGCATCCTACTGGGGATCGAGCCCTCGCCAGCAGTTGCTATCCCCGTCCTTTCCACTCTAGCTCTCCTGGTAAGTGCCAAGTGCCATCCCAACCTGGCGCTGTGTCTAGTGCTTAGCGGGCGCCAAACCTGGGTTTGGCTTGGGGAGAACCAAGTGGAGAAGGAGCCATCATCAATGTCATCAGAGGAATCACAGCTCAGGGGGTGGGGGCGGGGGGGTGGAGATAGATAGACACAAGTCTTCACTCACATACTGGTTACCATGTATCAGGCAATGTGTGGCTTAGACATCATGGGAGACACCGAAATAGGTAAGATCTGCCTCATGGTGCTTTTATTAAACGATAAAGAATCTTGCAGGTTCCTGATAGAGTCCTAATGGACTCTTTTAATAAAGAGAAGACCTTCATCACCGGCAGTTCATTTGTCTTTATGTCCATCTATACATCCATCTATCCAATAATCCATCCATCCAACAACCAAACATTTGACCAGCAAGCCATCAAAACATCCACCCATCCATTTATCCACCCATTCATCCAACTACCCACCCAATAAAACCACCTATCCATTCACCTTTCTACCTATTCACCTATCCATCCATCCTTCCATCTACCAACCATTCAAACACCAATCTATCAAATCATCCGCCCATCCACCCAATCACCCACGTATCCACCCAACCATCCCGCCATCCACCTGTACGTCAACCACTGATCCGCCGGGACACCCTGGACACTGCAGCTGGGACCTCAGCTTGGCCAAGTCAGGCTGGGCAAGTCAAGGGCACCCATGTGAGCGCCTTAAGGTGCTGTTCACTGGACACGAGCCAGGAAGGACTTCCAAGCCAGGCTTTCTTCACCTAGAAAGGCTTTGCTCCTCGATGGAGAATGCTCCTACCCACTACACCCTGTCGAGCATAGCCCCCCTGCTTTGGCTTCTATTTGGAACGCCCCTTTCTCACCACTTCTCACCTCGTAGGTGGTTACTCGGACATGAAGTGGGGGAAGGTGTGACCCAGGGCGCACACCTATGACCTTGAAGAGGGAGCCGAGGGCTTGCAGTGCTGCCTGGCCTCTGGGAAGAGGTGGCGCAGGTGCAGAGGTGCTGAAGGCTGCTGAAGGCTGAGCCTCCAAATGATCGACGTGAAGGGACACATGAGCCCTTCCCGCCCTGGACTACCTGGCCTGCGCCCACTAGCCTCTCAACCCTGGCCCTTTCTCAGACCCTCGGACCCACTCAGGGCTGTGTGGCAACTGTCCTCTGCCTTTGGGGCCCCTGCCCCCTCACTCGGCCACTCCCACATCGCGTCACTTCCACTGGCCCCGTCTCAGCCAGGTCCCCTCTCCCTTCCTCAGCATCCTGCTGGGTCCTTCCCTGCACAGACCCCTCCACAGTTTGCTGAACGCGCATCTCCCACCCCATGGAAGGTTCCGGGAGGCGGGGACTGGGTCCCAGCTCCAGGGAGGCATGCGCAGGTGCTCCACGAACATTTGCTAAAGATTCAGCCCCTCAGATGGTTCCCAACCCCGTGCCCCCCATGCCCTCTCCCGGGGCTACTGCCCCTCCTCCCTGAGGGCCTCCACCGACTCATCCTGCGGATTCCAGCACCCGGAGCTCGCCAAGCTCACAGCCGACCCCAAGCCCAGGCTAAACGTGTGAGCAACGCCAAGAATGGCGCCCCATGCCCTCCTCTCCTCTGCGAAGCCCCCCAAGCACTTGGAGACGTGGTCTGTGGGCCCCTTTCTGCGTGAGATGTGCCTGCGAGCAGGGCCCTGGGCCGCTGGGTGTGCCGTGCGGCCCCAGCAGCCAGCCCGGGTCTGGGTCTCAGCCGGCCTCGGTGCTTGCGGAGGATGCATGAATGGACATGAATGGACGGGCACGCGTGGCCGTGAGCGGCCAGGCCAGCAGCTCAGGTGGCAGGCCTCTGGCAGGATCTGGTTCCCTCGGACAAAAGCCGGGGGGGGGCAGGTGAATAAATCATGAGGGGCCCAGAGCAGGGCCGACAGGACAGCTGACCTCATTCCGGGAGGTGAGGAGCAGGCGCTGGTGGTAAGTGGTCTGGGGACACACAGGCACGAGAGGAAGGGGGGCTGCTGGTCACCCCCGTCCTGTTCCTGTTCGCTGAGAAGCAGGAGGGTGGAGGTCAGCAGAGGCTCAGCGGGGGTGCCATGAGGAGGGGAGTGGGGTGTGGAGTGAGGCTGGGGGGCCTGTCTTTCCACAATCCAGGAGCCTTGCTGGCAGGGCGGGGGAAGTAGGAGAACCAGGATGGACAGACAGAAAGACCACTGTGAGGGGGGCCCCACGCAACAGAGGGAGGGAGGACGGAGAGATGGTCCGAGAGCCACAGACCTGCTGGGCACATGCCGGCAGGGCAGGGCTGGAGAGAGGGACTGCGGGAGAGACAGACAGAGACCACCACGGAGCAGAGGGCAGACAGGGGCGTGGGCGCAGGAGGTCCGGAAGCCGCAGCCCAGGGCCAGGTGCCGGGTCTGCACGAGCCTGCGGGGCCCAGGTGCGGTGGGGCCAGCAGGAGGCTGGAGGGGGGAGGGAAGGCTAGGATTGGAGCGAGGCGCTGTTTGAGAGGCCTGGGGAGCTAGGAGAGATGGGATATGGGACTTGGGGCAGCCCAGGCACAGAGATGCCTGCTGGTTGGCCCCCAGCGCATGGAGGGAGGGGCAGGGAGGAGAGAAGCAGGGGCCCCGCTGCCACGAAGCCCCCTCCCGCAGGACCGGGGAGACCGGAGTGGGGCGGTGCCCCTCGGCCAGCAAGAGGGGCCAAGCCCTCGTCTCCATGGCCCTTCCTCAGGGCCCAGAGGGTGACAGCCTCCCCCCGGGGGACCCCAAGCCCTCTGAGGACACTGCGGGGCCCAGCCAGGCCCCTGCCAGCCCCGCAGTCACCAGGCGGCGGCTCCTGCTGCGGGAGCTGGAGGCCCAGGTGCAGGCGGCCTATGGGCAGGTAAAGTGGAAAGGGCTGTGGGCTTATCCCCAATGAGGGGACCATGAGCAAACAGAGGGGACCCCCTCCCCAACTGGGGCCCTGCAGGACAGACCCAGGCCGCGCCCAGCCGGGAGGAAGCCCTGAAATGCGTGCTGACCCGGGAGCCCCTCCCGCCCTGTCCTCCCTTGAGCCCTTCCGCAGGCCCTGGCCCCAGAGCCGGCTGGTCAGCTCCTCATCCAGCGGCGAGGGCCAGGGGGCCGGCCAGCAGTGCCGAGGGCGGGAGGGCAGGCAGGTGCTCCGAGGTGAGAGCCGGGGCCTGGCAGGAAGAGGCAGGGGCTTCCCAGGCCTCCTTTCAGGACAGGCAGTGAGCGGAGGGTCTGCAGAGGTCACACCGCCCGGTACCCACCCTTCCGACAGGAGGGATGCCCGGGGCCGCCCTGCACCACCGCCTGGCGTCTGCCTCCCAGGTGCAGGCCCTGCTTCTGAAGAAACCCAGTCTGTCCTGATGGGGAGAGATTAGGGGGCGGGGGGAGGAGAGGGACGCCGGACGGGTGTCTGCAGGACCCTCAGGAGTGAGCGAGGGGAGGCTGCGCAGCCCAGGGGCCTTGGGGCGCTCGCGGCCCCCCCACCAGCAAAGACACTCAGAGATAATCCCGGATTAGGACCCGAGCCCCTGTGCCCAGGGCTCCCCGCCTGCCCACCCGCCCCCGATCTTCTCCACAAAACCCTTGGAAAATCCCCTGCCGGCCTCTCAGACTCACTGGGAGCAGCTGGGGCTGGCGGGAGCCCACGGCCTCCGAGAGGCCCAGCCCGGCGGCCCTGGACGCCAGGCCTGGCATGGTTCCTGGGCCCATGGGAAACTGTGCCAAGCGGCCCCGACACTGGGGACCTCAGGTAGGGGGCGAAGGGGGAGCAGCCACGGCCAGGAGCCTGGGCTGGACCCTGGGAGGGTCAGGTGGGTGGGCAGGGCCCTGTGTGAGGCGGGGCAGGGCTTAGAGGGGGGCGGGGGGGAGGATGGGGGGCTGGTTCCCACTGGGTCCCCCCCCCCCCGCCAAGCTCAGCAGGCCCCCAGCTGCCCATCCTGCTGGCCGACCCTGCTCTCTGCTGGGGGACCCAGAGCTTGAGCTCAAGGTCTTGCTCCGCCTCTGGCTCTCTGAGTGGCCTTGGCCAAGTCCTTTGCCCTTCCTGAGCCTTAAGTTTGCCCAACTGCACAGTAAGGGGGGGCCCCTCCAGCCTAGAGTGGCAATAGGCGAGGGCCCCTCTCTCCTGTACCAGGTGCCAACGTCAGGAGAGGCTGGTGGGTCAGGGTGCAGAGGAGCCACTGCCCCAGCTCATGGCCGGCTCTGCTGCAGGGCAGTTGGCTGTGGCCCGGCTCCCGCCCAGGGGGTTCCCCCCACAGCCCCAAGGAGCTGGGGGGCCCCAGACGGGGCGTCCAGGGCTACTCGGTGCTCAGCAGCCTGGTGGGGCCTGCCTGCATCTTCCTGCGGCCCAGCATCGCCGCCACCCAGCTTGTATGTACAGCGCCCCCCCCATCCCCCACGCCCGCCTGCCGCTGTGCTGCCCTTGTTCCCTCGCTGTGCCTCTCCCTGAGTCGGGGGAGAGGATTGAGGGGGGAGGTCGGAGCAAAGGCACACAGATGGGAGCGGGCAGAGAGAGACCCAGAGAAACATCAGAGACAGCCACCCAGGGGATGGGCATGGAGGTGGCAGGGTCTCTAGGAGACAAAGGGTGACATCGAGGCCACCAAACCAGACCCACCTCCGGCCAATGGGCTCCGGGCCCTAGAAGAGGGTGGGGGGGGGGAGGCCCTGGGAGAGCCCTGGGAGAGGCCTGGCGGGGTCAGACACAGGCCCTGTGTAGGGGTGTTGGAGGCTGACTGGAGAGCCCCAAAGAACAAGAAACAAGGGGTCCAGGGACTTCCTAACCCCTCTGTGCCCCTCAGGACCGGGAGCTGCGGCCGGAGGAGATCGAAGGTAAAGGGTTTGGAAAGAACTAGAGTGTCTGGAGGGGTGGACGTGGGGGTGCACACGGAGCGGGGTGCGCTCAGCAGTCTCCAGGAGGAACTAGGAGCCAAAAGGAGGCTGCAGGGGCCCTGGGCGAGGAGACGGGACAGACCGAGCAGGGATGGGCCGACAGAACCCCCAGCTGCCAGCTGCCTGGTCTCACTGGCCAGGTGGGTCTTGGGTCCCTTTTGTGTTTGTTCAGCAAGCAGTTCCTAGGCACCGGCTGGTCCTGTGCTGAGCTCTGGGAACATGGCCAACCAGACAGACCGGCCTGTGTCCTCTGGAGACGGACGTCAATACGTCAGCAAGTGCAGACGGCTCAGTGCTCTCAACTACGAGTGCAATGGGCTGCAGGCTCTGACTTTAGAGGGAAGACTTCCTTTAGTACATGACAGGAGGACCAAGAGGAGGGGAGAGTGTTCCAGAATGTGAGCTACTCCCTCCCTCCCTCCCTCCCTCCCTCCCTTCCTTTCTCCCTTCCTTCCTTCCTCCCTCCCTTCCTCCCTTCCTTCCTTCCTTCCTTCCTTCCTTCCTTCCTTCCTTCCTCCCTCCCTTCCTCCCTTCCTTCCCTTCCTCCCTTCCTTCCTTCCTTCCTTCCTTCCTTCCTTCCTTCCTTCCTTCCTTCCTTCTTTTCTCCCTCCCCTCCTTCCTTCCTTCCTTTCTTCTTTTTCCTTCTTCATTGTCATATTCCCACTACCTAGAGCAGAGGTTGGCACATAGCAGATGCTCCTTAAGTATTTGCTGAAAGAATGAATTATAGGAATAGCATGTGCAAAGGCCCTGAGGCAGCAAAGAGACTGATGTTTAGACGGAGGGAATGATTAGACCAAGGAGAGAAGGGTGAGTTGATCCGCGCTGGGACCCAGGGGGACATTGGAGAAGGACTGACCCTGCCCTACTTGGCAGAGCTGCAGGCCGCCTTCCAGGAGTTTGACCGAGACCGGGACGGCTACATCGGCTATGGGGACCTGGGCGCCTGCATGCGGACGATGGGCTACATGCCCACTGAGATGGAGCTCATCGAGATTTCACAGCAGATCAGTAAGTGCCTCAGACCCCCCCATCCCCACTTCTCCAGAGGCCAGGCCAGGGCAGCTGGGCAGCCCAGGCACAGAGATGCCTGCTGGTTGGCCCCAGAGCCCAGACCTCGGCCATTCTCAAGGCAAGGACTCTGCCTCCATCCCTATGAGGTGGGCAGGGCAGGACCTCTATTCCCATTTGTTAGATGAGGACATTGAGTCTCTGAAAGGTTAAGTGATTTGCCGAAGGTCACACAGCCAGGTCATTGGAGCCAGGGCTTGAACCCAACCAAACTCTTCAGGAAATTAAGGAAAGTCATCAAAACCACAGATGGCCCCGCCTGTGGGGCCCGGAGGGAGAAGGGCAGTTACAGAGGAGGGCCAGGGCCGGCCAGTATCTCTGATGAGCACGGCCCCCAGGTGGCGGGAAGGTGGACTTTGAAGACTTTGTGGAGCTGATGGGCCCCAAGCTGCTGGCCGAGACGGCAGACATGATTGGCGTGCGGGAGCTGCGGGATGCCTTCCGAGAGGTGAGGCCCCAGGGCTGAGGGCGCGTGGGGCCTGCTGTGTGCGGTGAGAGAGGGGCTGGGTGACTGAACGATTCCTCGCCGCCGCAGTTTGACACCAATAGGGATGGCTGCATCAGCTTGGGCGAGCTCCGGGCGGCCCTCAAGGTCCTGCTGGGGGAGCGCCTCACCCAGCGGGAGGTGGACGAGATCCTTCAGGACATTGACCTCAACGGGGACGGCCTGATCGACTTTGAAGGTACCGCCGGCCACCACACCCCCTGGGAGGTTTCTAACAGAGAAAGAACAATAGAGGCAGAGCGTTTGCTGTGGGCCAGGCCTGAGCGAAGCGCCCCAATCCTCTCCCAGGAAATCATCAGGAGGACCCAGCAGGGAGGAGCTTTATCTTCCCGTGAACCGGAGAAGCCAGAAGCCAGTCAGTCAGTTCCTAGGAAAGTGTCAGTGCTCAGCGACAGGAAGTAGATGAAGCAGCGATCCGAATCCAGGCAGCCCAATCCGGACCCAGCTCCTCCTCGACACGGAGGGAGCACAGGGGTCAGGTCATCACAGAAGCCGCGGAAAATCAGGATGCAGCCCCAGAGTTGCTCCTGAGCTTCCTAGCAGCCAAAGCAGAGAGAAAATAGTTGAGTTACACGATGTTTTCTGTCCACCAGACAAAGCCCCTCTTCTTGGCCTAGAGACAGACCTGTTACCGATCAGATGCAGGAGACTCACTTGACCACACTCCCTCACACCTCAAGGCCCGTATGTGGGCCCCCCCTCTACTGGGGTCCACAGAGCAGACCCGAAACCTCCTCTTTGTCCTGGCAGAGTTTGTGCGAATGATGTCTCGCTGAGCCTGCGCAGAAGCTGGAGGCAGCGGAGAGGACTTGAGACCACAGCCACTGCCCACGAGTGTGTTCCTGGAAGCCCACTGCCTCCAGCTGGGACCCTCTGCCTCTTCCCCCCACCCCCCATCTGTGTGCAATGCCCTTGCCTGCCCTCACCCACCCCCACTCCCCCACCCCCCCACCAAGACCATCTCTGTTTCTCTGACAATAAAGTACCGTCAGACCTGGGGAGATGGCTTTCGCCTCTCATTTCCTCACCCTGGAGGACCCAGTATTTGGCCCCCGGAGGTTAAGTCCTGGGTCACAAGCCCCCTGGACTGTGAGCTCTGGGTGAGCAGGGGCCCTCAATGGATCCTGGGCCCCCAGCAAGTGTCCGGAAAGGTCCCTGAACGAGTAAACCAGCCTGCTTCTCCCAGAGCTGGGTGCGTGGGGGCCCTCATCCTGTGAAGGGCCCCTGCCAGACCCAGGATTGCTCTAGAGCAGTGATGGCGAACCTATGACACGCGTGTCAGAGGTGACATGCGAACTCATTTTTTTGGTTGATTTTTCTTTGTTAAATGGCATTTAATACATAAAATAAATATCAAAAATATAAGTCTTTGTTTTACTATGGTTGCAAATATCAAAAAATTTCTATATGTGACACGGCACCAGAGTTAAGTTAGGGTTTTTCAAAATGCTGGCACGCCGAGCTCACAGGGTTAGCCATCACTGGTCTAGAGGGTGGAGCAAATGTGTGAGGGCTTTTCCCAAGATCGATCTCATTCTCTCTGGGAGGGGTGCTGCTCAGAGCCCTTTGAGAGGGAACTTGAGTTCTTCCCAGCTTTACTTCTCGGCTAGGAAGAGACGACGCTGTTGGGCTCTGGCTGTGGGTCCCTTCAGAAGACAGCTCTTTCCGAGCCCCCAGCCACTGGCCCAGCGTGGAGGGCGCCAGAACACACACATTTCTGCCCTACTCGAGGTTCCTCTCCGGGGCGGTCTCCGCTGCGAACTCCCCTTACATTCGCTGAGGCATGGCCAGGCTGGCCTCACAGCTGAGGCCTCCTGCCACCTTGCTTTCTTGCCTTTCTCTGCCTTGCATTCCTAACTTCATCTCACTGTGCTTCCTGGGGGACCCGAATGACACATCTGCTCACCCCAACCCTCCTCTCGTCTTCATGCCCCGTTTTCCAGATTGAGGAAACCCAGAGGCCCAGTCTAAGTGACTTGCTAGAGGTCACACAGCGCCACTGACATCTCTCCCCCTGGGCCATGTAGGGCACGCTGCCAGATTATTCTCCCTAAAATATTCAGGAACTAGCCAGGATCCCCCATGGTTCTCAGATGAACCCACCCCTGTGCCTGGCACCAGAAGCCTCCAGGAGGACAAGGGACTAGCATCGTCCCATACAGTCAGGATGAAGGGGAGGTGGGGCACTCAGGCCTGGAGACTCTAACATCTCAGTGCCAACAAGAGAGGATGCCTGAGGGTCAGGGTGGACCCAGGACAGGCCTCCAGCTATAGCAAAGGCCTGGTCTGCAGAGCTCGGCTGACCGTCAGCCCCGTACCTGGTCTTCATCGTCACTGCGGCCAGCGCAATGGCCCTGGGGCCGAGCAGGTGGGCAGCCACCGTGCCCTGCCCAGCCCAGAGCCTGCACACCGAGGTGCCAGGCCTGGCTGCAGCAGCTCAACATCACTCTCCTGGAAGATCCCAATTAATCCGTAATCCCCAATTAGGCGATCTCTCCTGCCAGCCAGTCTGGCAGGCCTGTGGGGGAGGACTTGCCGCAGGCCATTGGCTTCACTGGGAGCCATGGCCCGTCCTCCTTCTGACACCCTCCACCAGTTGGCACACACGGCATTGCTTCCTGAGATGTCTGTCCTCTTCGCAGGGGTTGGAGGGTACATGCCAGGGGAAGGCTGGAACCCCCTCAGGGTTAGCCTCCCACCACCCGGTGGCCCCCCAGCCAGGGAGGCTCTGTGGTTGGTGGTTTGAGGGAGTTGCTGGGATGGATTTAATTATCTGCAGTGTATATACTGGCACCGGAAGTGTCCACAGCCCCACCAGTTCTCACATGGGCCCTCTTACCCCACAAGGCTGCAAGCCCAGAAGGTCTCAACTACTTAAGTCTACTTTAAATAGTGTGAGTATAACATGCATTCCGGGAGGCGTATAAATCTGAGGATAGTACAATGAATGTTTACCTGTGTATGCACCCAGGTAACCATCATTCTATCAGAACTTATTTTAGAACAGTTCTCGGTTTACAGAATTATTTCGAGGACAGTCCAGTGAGTTCCCATATACCCCAAACCCAGCTTCTTCTATGTGTTAGGCCCGGTTCTCCAGAGAAACAGAACCAATAGGAGGTGTGTATGTGTATGTGTATGTGTATGTGTATGTGTATGTGTATGTGTATGTGGAAGATACTTATTATAAGTAATTGGCTCAGGTTATTATGAGGGCTGAGCAGTCCCCAAGCCTGCAGTCAGCACGCTGGAGGCCCAGGACAGCCTGTGGTGCGGTTCCAGCCCACGCCCGGAGGCCTGAGACCCAGGAAGGGTGATGGCATGGGCTCCAGACTGAGGTCCGGAGAACACCGGCGTCCCAGCTCCACAGGCAGGCCGGTGAAGTTCCCTCTCGCTCCGCCTTTCTGTTCTATGTAGGTCCTCAGCTGATTGGATGAGGCTCACCACACTGGGAAGGGCAACCTGCTTGGCTTAGTCCACTGATTCAACAGGTGTTCATCTCACCCAGATACACCCTCACAGACCCCCCAGAATCACGGTTGACCACAGGCCTGGGAACCCCAGGATCCTGTCAAGTTGACACATAAAAGTAACCACTACACCATTAGTCACATTGTACATTAGAAGGGCACATTTGTCACAGCTGATGAACGTATACTGATACATTACTATTGGCTGAGCCCACATTTTATGCATATTTCAACCGTTTTTTTCCGGATGGCCCTTTTTCGGTTCCACAGCATCCAGGACCACGTTACATTAGACACCATGTCTCCTTAGGCCCCTCTTGGTTGATGCTTCCTCAGACTTTGTTTTTTACATTTTATGATCTTGACAGTGTTGAGGAGGACTGGTCAGGTACTTTATGTATTTTACATAATGTCTCTGAACTGAAATTTGTCTGTTTCCTTCATGGTTCGTCGTAGTTATGGGTTTGGGGGAGGAAGAGCACAGAGACAAGGTGCCGCTCTCATCTTTCATACCAACGGTGCGTACTACCAACATGACATCACTATTGATGTTGACCTTGATCAGCTGGCTAGAGGCAGTGTTTATCAGATTTCTATACTATAGAATTACTCTTTTTTTCTCTCTTTGCATACTATATTCTTTGGAAGGAAATCACCATGCATAGCCCACGTTTAAGAGCAGAGTATCGACATAAATTATTTGGAATTGGGATTCTTCTGTATGCAAGATTGGTCTCTTCTCCCCCACTTATTCATTTATTTGCTTATTCAGTCAATCATGTGTTTGCACTCATATGGACTCATAGGTATTTATTCTGTACTTTAAGTTATAATCCAATACTATTTCATTTATTCTGTTGTTCAGACAGTCCCAGTTTGGGCCATTGGAAGCTCTTTCAGTGTGCTCCTGTCTCCCTTTCACATACCCCAATCAGTGTAGGTTTGTTTTTTTCTCTCTACTGATTTATTGTTTTTTCTTTGATATTTTTAATTGAATTTATTGAGATGACATTGGTCAATAAAATTATGTAGGCTTCAGGTGACAATTCTGTAACACACCATCTGCATTGTGTGTTCACCACCCCAAGTTAACTCTCCTTTGGGGTTTTGTTTTGTTTTTCAGCATTTTATTACTTTCTTCACTACAAAATGCCCTGGGATCAGGTTGTATATTTCCTGCCCTAGTCCTTGAATCAGCCATTTCTGCAAGGAACTCTGGTTCATTTTATTGGAGAATGGTGTTAGAAACAAAGAGCTGGATACTAGATTGCTTCTAGGCCCTCTCAGCTGATACAGTGTGAGGAGATATGTGTATACAGTAACCTGTGTATATATATACATTTATAAATGTTGCTACATGTCACCAACTGTATCTATATTAAGCTAAACACGATGCTCCCTGTCCCAGCCTCCACACTCTCTTACTGCACTGTGTGCCTTTGCCTGTGTCTTCCTTGAGAATAGGAGCTCCTTGAGGACAGAGGCTGTGGCTATTCATTTCCATATCAATGTCTAGCAAAGGCTTGGGAGATAGGACAGAGTCAGAAAATGTTGGATGCCCTAGCTGGTTTGGCTCAGTGGATAGAGCATCAGCCTGGGGATTGAAGGGTCCTGGGTTCGATTCCAGGTCAAGGGCACATGCCCGGGTTGTGGGCTCGATCCCCAGTAGGGGACATGCAGCAGGTAGCCAATCAATAAGTCTTTCTCATCATTGATGTTTCTATCTCTCTCCCTCTCCCTTTCTCTCTGAAATAAAAATATTTTTTAAAAAGAAAAAAACAGTATCTATTGTGGTACTTAACCATTGACAAATAGTTATTTAAAAAAAAAAGAAGAAAGAAAACGTTTGTTGGATGAGTGAATGAATGTCCTGGGGATGAGAAAAACTATAGACTTGGAGGCATGGAGGGCACACAAAGACAGTTTTCAGGGAGAAGTAGCCTGGGAGAAAGGGTTAGTGTTTGGAGAGAGTGTAAGATCTAGGGTAGGGAGGAATGAGATTTGAGGGGAAGGTTCTGGGTGGAAAAAAATGGAAGGATTTGGAGGCACTGGAGTGGGACAGAAAAGAGAAGAAAACAATGAACACTTTATAAATAATTATTTAATCCACACGACAACCCTGTGAGGTAGTGATTAGCGTCTCCACGTTTATAGACGGAGAAACTGAGGCATATGGAGGTAAGCAACTTGCCCAAGAGAAAATCGCTCGTGGGGGTGATGTGCGATTCGCACTGTCATCCTGACTCCAGTCCATCCTCTCTTTGGCTACGGGGCCTGGCATGCAGTCAGCACTGAACAAAGGTCAGCTGTTCCAACTATTGTCATTACGCGGGGGGCCTTGGAGGAGCAGACTGAAGGGTCTCTGAGTCGCCCTTGGATCCAACACTAGCCTAGACCCGAGAACAAGGCAATTCGGAGGAATAGGTGCGCCGGTGGTGTGGGTGAGGGACCCGTTTCCATAGAAACAAACGAATGCTTTCGGAGGGCGCGTGCGCAGATCGGGAACAGGTTGTTGAACCGGCGAAAGGTGACGTAAAAGCGCACGGGGTGAGACGCAGGGCTCGGAACGTCAAAGCCCTGCGTCCTCCGGCGTCCCGGGCGGAGGAAAGGCGCGCTCCTTGGCGGCGGTAACAGCAGCCCACATGGACCGAGGCTACAGCAACCCCCGCTGAACCGAGGCCGGCGGCGCGGAGCGGACGTGCGAAGCAACGCGAGTGAGGCGCGGGGGCCGTGCCCGCACCTTTGAAGACCCCTCAGGGGGAACCGCCGGCGGCTGGACTCCGGTCCCGGCTCCGAGGCCCCGCCTCTCGAGTCTTGGGACTAATCGGTTTGAGAGCGCGCGGTGCCGAGCCGCGAACTCTCCAATTGCAGAGGGCGACGGGCACCGCCCAATCCGAAGCAGACAGGTGCGAGGTCCGGAAGGCAGCGACCAATCGGCAGCGGTTGCGGCCTATTGGGGCCGGTCTCGGCCAATGAGGAGGTCCGAGTGACATCTTTGCACACCAATCGGGAGTGAGAGAGCGTTTGTGCCTGTCCGCCCTTCCGGCCAGAGCTCTATTTACTAGGGGCGTGCAGCCCGCCTGCCAATCAGAGCGCAGCTGAGTGGCCAGGCAGCCAACCCCGGAGGAGCGGCCGGCCGGCGTCCGCTGCACCCAAGAGTTGGGGATGTCCTACAAACCCATCGCCCCCGCCCCCAGCAGCACCCCGGGCTCCAGCACCCCTGGGCCCGGCACCCCAGTCCCTACAGGTGAGGATCCAGCTCCATCCTTGTTCGTCTGCCCGGGCGGTCGAGGTCTCGAAAAGAAGACGGCCCTGAGTGGAGCAGTTCTGGGCCTGTCACCTACACTCCCAGAGCCTCAGTTTGTTTGCCTGGGAAGTGGGCGTGGTCGCGTAAGGGTCTGGTGGGATGCAGGGGGAGGGGTTTGTCCCTGAAGTTGAGCATCCCGGAATGAGCATCCCTTTGGAAGGAATCGGGCCAGTCGGGGGCTTGGAACGCTAGGAAGAAAAGTCCCTGTCCCGCTCTGACCTTCTTAACTCGCACATTGTTGCAGCCGGAAGTGTCCCCTCGCCATCGGGCTCGGTGCCTGGAGCTGCTGCCCCTTTCAGACCACTGTTTAACGACTTTGGACCGCCCTCCATGGGCTATGTGCAGGTGAGTGGGGCCGAGAGCTTGCCTATGGCTGGGGGCTGGCAATCTGCCCCAGGGCCTGAGCTCACTACCCTGTTCTCTTTTGACATAGGCAATGAAGCCACCCGGCGCCCAGGGCTCCCAGAGCACCTACACGGACTTGTTGTCGGTCATAGAGGAGATGGGCAAAGAGATCCGGCCCACCTATGCTGGCAGCAAGAGCGCCATGGAGCGCCTGAAGAGAGGTGAGTGAGGCCAGGCCCCCACCCCCAGGAAGGACGGACCCCTGGAGGCCACCTGAGCCCAGCCCAGCCTAGACTAGGGGCAGGGTTACCATCCATAGGTGTATTGAACTGAATTGAAAATTAGTTGGTTTCCAGGGAGGGACCAGGGAATTTGTATTTCAACAGGATACATTTGAGGATTAGCCAAATCTCATCTAGCCTTTCTTTAGATTATGGTCCCTCTAACTGAAGGGAAAGCGGGTGGGGAGGGAGGGGTCTTCTGGAGGGGGTGGGTGGGACTGGAGGGTCACTGAGACCCTGTATGTTACTTCCCCATCCCCACTCCCACCCCCACCCCAGGCATCATCCATGCCCGGGCCCTAGTCAGAGAGTGCCTGGCGGAGACAGAGCGGAACGCCCGCACGTAACAGGAAGCACCTCCGCCTCGAGTCTGGACCTTTCCTGGCCACTGCAGGGCACCTGCTTCTCCCTGGCCTTCACCCCGAGTTGCACTTCCTGTCCTGTGTCCCTTGGTGGGTATTCTCCAGGAACCAGGGGGTGGCTCTCACTCGTTGGCAGCACTAACTTGGAACCCCCGGAATACTTAGCAGCGAGGTCACTGTGAGTCCCACTCATGAGCTGCCGTCAGTGTTGATGCAACTGGAGTTTTCTTCTTCCTGTAGCCCCCACGACTCAGCACTTACCCAGGACTTCTCACCACTTTGTCCCAGACCCCTTCTCCCCCAGCAGGCCTTCAGAAGGCCTGTCACCTCCCTGCCTTGTCTCCTGGGCCATAACCTCTCTTTTCTCAGGGGGCTTTTTGCTAAACATGCCTTTTTTTTGTATAAAATAAAAAAAAATTTGGAGTGTTCCTCTCAGCTCTTAGCCCTTTCTGAGTCTGGGAATTTCTGCTTAACCCGGGTGGCTGGGGAGAAAGTGGGGAAAGATAAGACAGAGTGGTGGCAGTTGGTGGGAGAGAGGCAACGCAGCCTGCCCCTCCTTGCCCCGGCCGTCCATTAACCTCGGAAGGGACCCGGCTCCTGGCTGCTGGCCTCCGCCTTCCAGCTTTAAGTAGGGGAAAGAGTGGCTCCGGGAGCTGAGAGGCTGGCTTTGCTT